CATCCCTTGGTCGTCATCCCATCATCCATCTGCAGTTTTCTCCAGGGGGCTGCTAACTTGAGCCGTCCTACGGTTCACAGGTATCCGACTTGGGATCTTAATGTGGTCTTACTTGCCCTTGTCGAGTCTCCTTTCGAGCCCCTCTAGATGGCCAGCATGAAGCATTTGACGTTTAAGAGCGTGTTCCTCATCGCCATCACTTCGGCTGGATGTATTTCTGAACTCGCTGCCTTGTCAGTCCGTGAGGACTTGTGCCTGATTCAACAAGACAGAGTTATCTCAGACTGGATCCGTCTTTCATCCCCAAGATTAATTCTTGGTTTCATTGGGCTCAGGAGGTCATCCTCCCTGACTTCTGCCCACATCCCAGGCATCCCCATGAGAAGCGCTGGCACAAGTTGGATGTCTGCAGGACGCTTTGCAGATACATCAAGTGCACAGCCAGCTTCCGGCGTTCTGATTCATTGTTTGTCTCCTTCCAGCCATCTTCTCAAGGCCGGAAGGTGTCCTCATCTACCATTGGCGGATGGCTTAGGGCCTGCATCGCCCTCGCTCATGTTCTGCAGTCTAAACTGGTGCCCCATCATATCACGACACATTCGACTAGGAGCGCTGCCACCACGGCAGCCTGGGTGGCTCGGGCTCCGATTGAGGAAATTTGCAGAGCGGCTACCTGGACTTCCTTGTCTCCATTTGTGCGGAATTATAAGTTGGACAAGTTTGCTTCAGCAGAAGGGTCTTTGGGAGGCGTGTGCTGCAGGGTATTCATTCCAGCGGAGAGACCCTGACTGCTTCTGCTTCCCGCCCTAGTGAAGTTTAGCTTGGGTATGTCCCTTGCTTGGACTCTCCTGAGCAGCACCCTGGAAAAGGACCATTGGACTTACTGAAGGGTCATTTTCAGGGTGCTGCAAAGGAGAGTCCACCCTGCCCAGGGGTCTGGCTCCACTGTTTCATGTTCAGTTGAAGTTCCAGTTGGACTTGTTTATTGTATGATCATTGGATTACTTGTTGGACTTCTCAGCACACAACGGTTCCACATCTTCATTTCAAAAATCTGAGGATAATCAGCACCAGAGGCGTGGCTTAAAGTTTCAATTCAGTTCTGGGCAGTTTGGCTGTATTTAACCCATTGCTTGGACTCTCCTTTGCAGCGCCCTGAAAACGACCCTTCAGGTAAGTCCAACGGTCCATCTCAGCTGGACCAATTAATCATCTTCTCTTTTTCCTTCCATTCTTCCAATAGTTAGAGTTTATCTGTTTCAAACTGAAGCTCGGGTTAATAAAGCAAGGAAAACACAACTAGTAGTCTTTGATTTATGATGAATTCCCCAAAGGTACTTAAGACCTCCTAGACTGAAGTTCCAATGGCCACTCCCCATGGTCATGTGACTGCACTGTGAATGCTTGGCAGCCAACTCACACTTAAAGCCGTTTGCAGCATCTTGTAGCCACATGAGCATAATTTATGACTTTTTTTTGCTGGAAATCTTCATTTACATCTGATTTTTGGCCAAAAAAAAACCCCAACCCATAGTGAGCAAAACTCATAGTGCCTTTAAAAACCCCAGTCTTTGTTTAACAAACACCACATTCGCTTTACAAACTCTGTGTTCACTTAACAACAGAATAAACAGAAAGTTGTAAAATAAGGTATTTATGTGATGACCCACTTAATGATCAGCATGACTTACAGCCATAATTGCAGATTCAATTATCAAAGTAAGTCAAGGACTAATTCCATATGAAATATAATTGCCTGGAGTAATATAATAAGCTAATAACTAAATTGAGTTTCTATTACTACTATAGTAAAGCGGAGCTTAGTAGTAATAGCATGAGTAATTATTATTTTGTTCAGAACTGAAATTGTGACTTTAAGTCCTGGTCCCTCTATTAATGAAAGGAGATAACCCTCTCTTGTGAGTACAAGATTTCATTTCAACTTCTGAGATGTTTACTGGTAGTGCCAGTTTTTTACCATTTCTAAATTATAATTTCTTCTAAAATGTGAAGTTAAAGAAATGTTCCGTTCAGCCTTAACAAGCAGAAATATGAAATGCCATTAAAAACCCTAAAAACATAAGCATTTCACTTGATAGTCAAAATGATGAAAAACTCACTATTAAAGGACAATTAATTCACAAGTGCATTAATAATGAAGTGGGAAATTGGATATATCTATATGTAAATATAGATATTTTAATGGAAAGATGGTAAATAGATGAGATTTAGAAAAGCTTGCATTAATAAATGTTTAATCAGGAGATAATAAAACTTGCCAAAGAATCATCCTAACCAAATGATGTATCATACTTTTCATTGATAGCCCCAACAAAATAAGTGCCAATGTGTTCATTGGCCCAAGGAGAAAAGGAGTCCAAAACACTGTTCCCTCTAAGGTGCGCGGCTGTGCGGCCGCGCACGTGGCAAGAAAACCCCGCGCAGCAGTTTCTAACTGCCGCGCAGTGATTTCTGCCAAAGCAAACGTGGGGAAGTCCTTTGCAGGCAGCTAGAACTGGCCGCCCGCAAAGGACCTCCCCAGACCTGTTTTGATGAGCACGGAGCGACTGACGGTAGTTTGTGCTGGCCGCGGCTGCTCAAACTAGCGGCAGTCGCCCCTGTATTCAGCAAAGCAAGCCCGGCCCCGGGGAGGTCCTTTGTGGGTGGCTAATCCCAGCTGCTTGGGCCCAGTGCTGTGGCTGTAGTAACCCCCCAAAGCCCCTGCCGCCACCAGAATATCTGCTGCCTCCTCCTCCTTCTCCTCTAACAGCACTGGATTTGCCACCCGATGTCACGACTGAGATGAAGCCGCCAAAGCTCCCGTCAGCAGCACCCCGCCTCCCCCTCCATGTG